TGGCGCTGGAACTCTGCCCGGGGCAGCGTGGCGATCTCAAAGTGCGGGAAGCGGGCCTGGAATATGCGGGAGGACAGCTTCAGCCGCTTGAGCACGTCGGAGAAGAGGAACCAGTTGCAGGGCCTGCGAGGATGACAAGAGGGCGGTGGGTTAGGGTGGAGGGGCCGCAGGCACAGTGCCCACCTCCCTGACTCCCAGCTTCGGGCACACTGACCCTACCCCTCTGGTCCTGGCACTGTTCTCTACATGCTCCTCCTCTGCAGGCGCCCATGGATAGGACCCAGGCTCTGAGAGGGTCCTGGGTTTTTTAGTCTGATCATTGCCTTGCAGGTCACAGATTTTTAAAGCATTCAAAGCCAAGCAGGGGCAGTGGTGTGAAAGTTGTGCCTTCAAAGGGGTCCAGTCAGACCCCTTCGATGGGAAATGGAGCCTCTGGTGTTGCTTATTCCTAGGCAGCGCATGCTGCATGTGTCCCTCCAGATGGGCAGAAACTGGCAGGCACAGACATTTGCTAAACAGAAAAGCAGCACTTTGGTTGCTGCCTCTTCCAAGTCACCTCTCTGCCCCAGCAACATCCACTGTGTCACATGGGGTGCAGGTGGGAGCATTGCTCCAGTGCTGGGACCCAATTTAGCCAGGATGGAAGGGGAAACAATCTTCTCTGAGCCGACAACGTGACCTGCCGCTGCTGGAGAAAAATGGGGCTAGCAGTAGGATCCGAGGGATGAGAGAGGGGAGCTTCCTGACAGGCACAGCATAGGGAGACTCACAGCAGAATGCGTCTGGCTGTGGAGCAGGACTACATGGAGAAAGCCCTGATGAGCCTCTACTGCTCCCTGAGAACATCCTGGGCTGTCCCAAGCCATCAAACAGCCCGAGCCCTGCAGGAACATGAGGAGAGGGATCCCAAAGGCCACACATCTCCCGACACTGTGTTCCTGCAAGGCCCTGCCTTCACCCCAGGATCTCTGATCCTAATTTGAAGGAAAATATTGGGGCATCTTCTCTGCTGGCCATTCTATGAAAATAACCACCAGAACTGCTCTTAACCCCAAGGAGCCAGAATGACCAACATGCTGCCGTGACTAGGCTGCCAGGGCTGTGACCACTTGTGGTACTGCTCTCTGCTCCAGGGAAAGATACTCACCCCCGGGAGACGGACACTTGGAGGTTGTAGCTGGGAAGCAGTGGCTTGTCTGAGAACTCAAACATGAAGTTGTCTGCTTCTTGCTCCTCCTCCTCCAGGTCTGAACTCCCTGGAGGGTTGAGCAGAAGGTCGCAGCCGATGCTGTCCTTCCCCTCTGCAACAGGAAAGACAGAGGTTAGCACTGCTCACAGTCACACACCAGCCAGTGGTGTCACTCCCAGGGGGACAGCTCTGGCCACTGCCACGACCCCATGGGCACCTTCCCACAACACCCCAGCAGTCATATAAGCTGTGTCCCTCCTGCTCTCCTCCATCTCCTTGTCTTGGAGGAATGTGCTGTGAGCACTGGCTGTGCTGCACAGTGAGACTCTGCTCGCTGACCACGTTAGGTGGAAAGAAGATTCCATGTCATGGCAGAAACCTCAGGTGTGCACTGATCCCACATGTGGACCATGAACCACCCAACTGGCAGACCTCCCCTGACATGGCCTTGGCCCCCCTCCCATGCCAGCACAGCCCTCCTCAGCCTGGAAGAGCCTGGAACAGTGAGGCAGGAGGTGGATGTAGAGAGGCTTTGCCTGCACACTGTGCCTGTACAGTGAGCACTCTGCTTCTCAAGAGCTTCACCCAGATCCCACCCTCAGCACCTCCAGCAGGTGCTCCAGCACCTGTGTCCCAGTAAGGTTAGCAAGGCTGTGCCATCACACTAATCCAACTAACCAACAAGCATGAGGGGAAATTTAGGTTAGAAATATGGAATAAATTCTTCCCTGTGAGAGTGGGGAGGCACTGACACGGGTTGCCTAGAGAAGCTGTGGCTGCCTCATCCCTGGAAGTGTTCAAGGCCAGGTTGAATGGGGCTTGGAGCAACCTGATCTGGTGAAAGGTGTCCCTGCCCACAGGAGGGGAAGAAACCAGATGGTCTTTAAGGTCCCCTCCAACCCAAATCAGTCCATGATTCTATGACTTAGAGAATCCACCCTGCAGATAAAAGCTGGCTGTTCCAGGAAGTACCCAAGCTCCAGAAGGATCTAAGTCCACTGGGTCCATAAACCATTTAACGGCAGTTAAATTTCCTATTCAGCAATCTGAAAAGCCCCTGTTGAATAGGAGCTTGCTGCCTGGATTTTATGAAGAGGTCTTGGGTTTGCACAATAGTTTTGTCTCACTGAGATAATACAGGATAACTCCAAAAACTTCCGGCAAATAGAGGTTAGATTCTACAGAGAGCAGCCATACCCAATGTGCTGGTGAGCAAATAAGCCAATCACGCAAAAGTTCAACACCACTCACGAGAGGAAAGGCTGCAAAAAAAAAATAATCTGGTGTGCTGCATGAGGAAGCTCCACGCACCAGACGGCTCACCCAGCACGGATGGGATTCCAATAGAGGAACAGCAGATGACAGGAGACACTGGCTCAGGCGGGGTCTCAGGGAAAAATAAAGTAATTTCTTAGTGCTGTCAAGGGAAAAAAATTCCCTAAGAAACAGAAAAACAGGGTGCTGAAAACATCAGAACTCACTGTGGAACAGGACAAAAATAAGTGACACGGATATTGATCTAATGCCGCTGCTGGCAAAGCTCAGATGCCATCACTGAAAACCCTCAAATTTCTTCAGCAGCCCAGGAAAAAAAGAATTAAATGCATTTAATGTGCAAAAATAGGGCCCAATGTCTGCCCTGAAAGCTCAGTTCTGTCCGTCAGCCCGTGCAAAGACTGGGACAAGGACAGGAACATCCTGTACCACCACAGGAGACAATCAGGCACAACAATGCCTGTCCCAGGTGGAGACAAACCCCGGGGTGGGACTTTGTGTCTGGAGCTCCAGCAGCACCAAGTGCAGGACACTGATGACTTTTCCACGCTTGAACCTTGAGATCCCACACCCTGGCTTTCCTCATCCTTCTGCCCCCAGAGATTTGCAGACCTCAAGAAAATGTGGACAACATTCCTGCCTCAAATAGGAATGGCTTGAGCAGGGCCTGGGATTTCTCCTCCACCCTGAGGGACACACAGTGCTCTGTGCTTCAGCTGGTGGAGCTGATGGAAAGGGAGATTCCAAAGGACTGATGAGAGCTGTTTTTGCTGCCTGTGATGGCTGGGAGCAGCTCGGTTACTCCAGAACAGAATCATTCACTTCCCTGCCCTGGAGTGTACCTGCTCCAGATGTCCCAAGGCAACTGCTCAGGTACCTGAATCAAAAAGAGACATCTCAGGACACTGAGTAAACACGTTGTAAGGAAACCAGCCCCGTGGCTCGGGCTCAGGCATCCCATTCTTCCCGCAGCTCCAGCAGCGTCCAGCGGCAGTGCCTGGGACTGCCACTGCACTGCTGCTGTAAGCTGATCTGAGGAGAACGGGGAGGAAGGTCCCTTCCTGTGCCCGCTGGGAACAGACCTGGCCGGGCAAGGGATCACTTCTCAGCTGGATTAGCTCCTGCCTTGCCAGGCAGCCTCTCAAAGGCAGCACTGGGAATGCTTTGTGGAGAGGGCAGAAGTAAGGACCACATGCCCAGCCCTTGGAGAGCAGCACGGTACAGCTCCAGCCTGGGATGTCCCTGAGTCAGAGATGGAAATATGCGCAAGCAACACCAAAGCCACAGGGCTCCAGAACCTTTTCTGCAGCCAGAGATAATCCCTCTCCTGCCTGGGAGGACCTCTGTTCTCCCCAGAGGTACCTGTTAAAGTCTGAAGGTGTCAGCATCAGCCTAACCAACACTGGAAGGAACTTTCCATGGCAGCAAGGATGAAATGATGCTTCCAGGGAAGGGTAGAGACAGCTCAGTGTGGGATTTGTCTGGCTTGTTAACAGCTTCAGGTAGCCCAGGAGAGAAGGAAAACCTGGCAGATGGCAGTGTGTGAGTGACGGGGACCCAGTTGACACATCCAGTGGCCAGAGCTTGATGTGAAGTCCCACTGGAAGAGGTTGGATGTGTTTCTTTTTTTAGTGGTCTTTCTCCACTGCCAAATCAAGATATATTCTGAAGAGCCTCATTAAAGGCCAGAGACAGGAAAAGGTAAAGAAGTGTAGTTCCCAGCCCTCCCTGTGGAGATCTTCCATATATTAGCCAAAGGTCCAAGCAAGTCCCTCCCTTTGAGCAGTGAACTGCCATTATCTGTGGCATCCCAGTCCCCCTCCATCCCCAAGGAACACCGAAAGAGTTGGTAATAGCTTTGCTTACTGAAAAAACAATCCCTTTCTTTTTGCCTACAACAGTGGAGAACAGAAATGTGGGAAGATAGCAGTCTACATCCAAAGCCAGGAGCTTCCAGGGGAAAGCACACAAGCAGATACCAGAACTCAAGCACAAAGCTCTCTGGGCAACCAGGAACTCAGTAGTGACCAAAGAGAGCCAAACTCACAAATCCACACACCATTTTCCTTCCTTGTTTATCAGAGGAATCCAAGGGGGAATCAGTGATAAATCAAAAGGGGCAGTATCTTAAAAAAAATTGCAAAGAATAGCTATTTTTCTTCGTAAAGGCTTGTGACAGTTTCAAGAGCAAGAAATTCTGAGGCAGGAGGCTGAGGTTTGAACTGTTTCCTTGGCAGGGCTGAGGTGCAACAGCCTACGAACAGAGCCCTTAGGAGTGCAGAATTTCTCCTGTTCTGGAATGGAGAGACATCGGGGTCCTTTAAGGATAAGTCCTCTACCAAAAGAACCCTCCCAAATGTATTGGATTTTTTTCTTTTCTAGGAGGATGTTGGAAATGACGGAAGTGAGCAACTACAATTAACAAATAGCCTTTCAGCCTGACAGCATAAGTAACCTGAGTCTTTATGAAGGACTTGAGAGTGCTGGACTTTGGAAGAGGCTGGAGGGACTCCAGTCTGCCACAGGCCCACACCAGATCCAGAATATCTCCCACTGTAACCACAGGTTTCAGGAACTGACAGTAAAGGCACAAGTCAGGTCTCCACTGGGAAATGCCTGGTGTTGTAAGAAGATGACCTCCCCTGGATGAACACCTCCCCACCAAAGCAGAGGGGTGGGCAGTTCTGGAAACCTGGCAGTTCAAGACTTCTACACCTTGAAGGAATGAGTATGTCCTTTACCTTCCTTGGGTTTACCTTGGTGACTGGTAAGCAGGGGACTAATGAGAACTGCTTTAAGAACAATTGCTCCGGTATTGATAACTAAAGACCCTCACAAATCACCAGCAGTTGGAGTCCAGTCCCACACTTGGAGGGATCTACATATGCAGCTTCTGAAAGAAAAAGTGCCTTCTAGGAGCAACTCCCAGCATGTAACACCACAGCAAGGTCTCCATCCAAGGTGTTAGTAGGGAGAAACACAGACAGACCCAAAGGAATGACGTGCTGTTACCTGGCATCACCTCCTGTTCTGCTGCTCTCAGTGACCTGGCACGGACTGCACTCACCTAGCACAGAGCTGCTGTAGAAGTCCCAGGCTGTCCGAGGGTCTCCATCAGTGCGGCCCTGGAGATCTGACAGGTAATCTAGAGAGGGAAAATCAAGAGGTTAAGCATCAAAGCATGATCCCAACGTGCATATCCACTGATCCAGGGGAATGACTTTGGCCCTGAGCTTCCCCCACTTGGGTGTTATGGCAAAGGCTGAGCCACAGTTTATAGGAAGGGTGTCCCTGCTCAGGAGAGGACATCACCCCAGGCCCCAGTTCAGGAAATGGGAGCTGAAAAGGGAGAAAAACTGACAAAATTAAGTGGGTTGGAAAAAAATGTTTTTAGGGTCATCCTGAGCTCCAAATCACCCCCCCAACACCTTCATGTGTCATTGACCCTAGAGGAGCTCAGACAGGAGGTGGGCAAACAAGGTTTCTTCAACACTGAAAACTTTCTGCCTTATCTCTATCTGGGAACCACCACTACTCTGGCTGTCCATTACTCTTGTGGGGAAGCCACAACACTCGTTTATCATGTACACTAACAGTCCTGAAAGCATCCATGGGGACACAAAATGGCCCTTTCTGCCAGCATCAGCATTTGGGCAGGGCTGTTTTCACATAGAAGGCAGCATTATTTGGCAGTAAAAATATGTTCACTTAGGTTAGGCAGTAGAATCGGACTGTGGAACACTGTCTCCAAGAAGAGCCACTGTCTTTAGTTGTGTGACCATAGCACAGCCTTCTCCTTGCACACTGACATCTGAAAAGTGACTTTTATCTTATATAGAAAAGATACAACTCTATAATTCAAGTCTGGGTGGTATAAACACACTCATGTGACAGGACAGAGCTAAAACTATAGTGTCACCTGCTGCTCAAACACTTTGACACCCAAATTTGGCCCCATATGCTGCCAGAGGGGACAGACCAGAGCACTGTCACCACCAGCCCTGGCACCTACCGGAGAGGAAGTGCTTCATCACATCGCTGGTGGCCAGCTTCACTGCTGTCTGCCCAGAGTATGTGGCCAGAGTGGGATCAGCACCATAGGAGAGTAGAAGCCACAGGGTTTCCAGGTTGTCATTTGCTACTGCATCATGAACAGGCCTGCAAGGACAGCAGTGTTGGCAGAAGAGAAGAAACTGGGAGTTCACTAAGTAAATGCTCTGGCTCAGGTTAAGACCAATTTAGTGATGACCAAAAGTTCACCCTGAAGAGCCCACCCTGCTCCCTGCCTCACATGTCCCCAGGTGTGCCCCTCACAGCTCACCTGGTGCCATCCTGCGCGCTGCAGTTCACGTTGGCACCATGCTCAAGCAGGATGTGCAGGATGTCAATCCAGCCGCGCGCGCAGGCCTCGTGCAGGGCTGTGTACCCAGCGTTGTCGCGGTGGTTCACGTCGCTGCTCTTCTTCTGCAGGCAGTACAGCACCACATCCTGTGCCAAAGAGAGCACAGCAGATGGTGACACACCAACTCAGGTGAGGCAGCACAGGGCACAGAGCAGGAGGGGCAGCAGGACTCACCTTGTAGCCCAGGCGAGCTGCTCGCTGCAGGAGGGTCTCCCCCGCGTTTTTATTCACAATCAGCCGCCGAGCTCCAGGAGGAATGTTCTGGGCTGTGGGCAATTCAGGGGAGCTCCCTGGGCTGACCTGCTGTGACTTACAAACTGTCCACAAGTCCTGGGACTTCTTCAGAGAGCACATTTTGGGCTGGTTACAGCAGCCTTTCCCCTGGGAAAGAAAGGAATACAACTCCTTGGCACATGTGACCATGACTCAGAGGAGTCCCCTTCTCCCTGTTCTCCCCACACATGTTCTTCTCATCCATCCAAGCCATACCTTCCCCTCATCACAGATCCCTGCCAGGTGTTTGGTTTTACATTTGCGTTTTCCTGATGGTTTCTCCAGCTCTTCTTGGACGGGAGAGCTGTCGGAGTGCTCCAGGAAGAAGCCATTCCGAAAGTCTGTGTGTCCTTGAGATTTCCGGGGGGATGGGGATAGCCTGCTCCTCAGCCGCAGCTCTGTGCCTTTACCCTTCCCAGACTCCTTCTGCTTCCGGTACCTAAGATCTGAAGGAGAAATGGAAATGAGCAGCTCTTGTAGGTACAACACCAAAGGTCACACAGACCTGTGCCACCAGCAAAACAAACTGACCATCTGTGATGGCTGCACAGAAATCAGAGAAACTGTGACTGCCCCATCCCTAGAAGTGTTCAAGGCCATGTTGGACAGGGCTTGGAACAACTTGGGCAAGTGGAAGGTGTCCCTCCCTGCTATGTTGGAACTGGATGAGCTTTAAGGTACCTCCCCACCCAAACCAGTCTGGTGTTCTATGATTCTAAAACCAGGCCCACATCATGGGCAGTGCAGGAAGGAGAAGCAGAGATTCTTCCATCAGGGATGGACTCAGAATGGTCACAAGAGACCCAAGGACAGACAGGAGGAGGATTCATTGGGATACCCATCAGAGAGGCAGGAAAAGCAGGAGGAATCCCCTTCAAGCTGTTTGTGAACAGTCACTGCTTGCTGCTTACAAAACCAGGCCCAGCTTTGCCCTCTCACATCTTCCCATGAAGTTAAGGAGCACATTCAAGTTTTCATTAATATGCATCTAGGTAGGAAGCACCAGAATTCCTCAAGGGAAATCCAGCCTTGTCTTTCCTGCATTACAGAGAGCTGCAGGTTGCTCATTACAGGGCCCTGCACATCACACAGGGACAGGCGCTCTGCTTCCCTGAAACACCGACATCCCAGAGCAAGGGCATGACAGCAATGGGAAAACAAAGAATGGAAGGAGAAAGTAATGCCTGTGGACAAATCATGGGACTTGTATGATGCTTCACACCTCTGTCCAGGTGAACAATGCAGGAACAGAACAGCTACAAAGAACAAATCTGTGCAGATCAAAGGGCAGAAGAGGCACCTGTGAGGTCCAAGACACAGAATCACAGAATTCCAGAATGGTTTGTGTCAGAAGGGACCTTAAAGACCATCTCATTCCATTCCTCTGGCAGGGGCAGGGAAACATTCCAATAGCCCAGGCTGTTCCAAGCCCCATCCAACCTGGCCTTAAACAATTCCAGGGATGGGGCAGCCACAGCTTCTCTGGGCAACCTGTACCAGTGTCTCCCCATCCTCACAGGGAAAAATTTATTCCTAATTTCCTAAGAAATGGAGACCCTCAAGTGTCAAACACCACACATAACTTCCACTTCGTCCTGTTACTGCTAGGAAGCAGGGACCATGTATCTTGTACAGAAAAACGTGTTTGGCCAAGACACCAAGGCAGAACCACAAATAAAACATCAAAGCCAGCACATCTCAGGTACTGTTGTGCTGTTCTGGTCTCTACATCTCAGGAATAATGGAGCGGGAAAGGCAATCGAAACAATGGAGGGGTGGAGACGTCACCCTACAAGAGAGGCTGGGACTTCTCAGTCCGGACAGGAGAAGATAGAGAAGGATGTGACCAAAATTTGCAAAAATCCTGAAAGGGTGGATCATCTGAGTGGAGGAATCTTGTTCACCCAATCCTGCAGCATAAAACTTCAGGCACTCAGTGAAATGAGTTAAAAATGGACGGAAGGACTTTGCACAGCACAGAGGGAACTTGAGGGCTACACTGCCTTGAAGTGGCTCCAGGCCACACCTTCTGAATCCAAACTGCAGCACCTCACCTATCTGAGGGCTGAGCAAGCAGCCCCGAAGGGAAACTGGCTTTTGGGCAGACAGACGCTCTTAACATGTGGTCAAGCTGCCGGAGAAAACCCTGTTGAATGCTGCTGCACTCAAACCTCCTTCCAGGCTCTGTTCAAACCAGGATGTGCCCTGAGAATGCCCTTGAACTGCTAAGGTGCCAGGAAGCCCATCCCAAACTTTGCTCCTGGTCTGACAGAGGCTTCCAGACACTGCAGCGATGGTGTAACACTATACCGGTTCAGAAATGTCACTTGGGAGATAAGCTGACAGGAAGACAGCAGCCACCTCTGCTGCTCACAGTGCCTCAGCAGCACCTCAGCCTCTCCTGAGGGCTGTGGATCTCAGCTTGGATGTGGCAGAAGGAAACAGGTCCATATCCACCACATCCTCTCCAGAATCACAGCCCAAGTGTGTGAAGGGCTGGCAGAAGCACTGCCCTCAACAACTTCCCGGCAGAAGTCACCTGTGTGACCCCAGACACAGCTAGGAGCTACAGCCAGGTGTCAGCACACACAGAGCCATCGCACGCTGCTGGACAGATCCCGCGGCCCCAAACTGACCCTGCACAGGGAGAGGGGACCACAGGGACTGCAGCCCTCAGGCACAGGCTGAACAGATTTAGGTTTGACCAGAGGGTCTGGCAGTTGTGGGGGAAGGCACAAGAGCAGAGGCAGAGCAGAGACAGCAGTGGCAGGCACAGGAGGGCGCACAGCATGCTCCTCCTTGCATGTATGAGCCACAGAGGGAATTCCTCCATCACTCGACCCTTGTTAATCCTCTCGCCTTCGTGCTCCCTGGTGCGAGCCTGCAAGTTGCCTGCACAACGCACGACAAAGTCAAGAGTGGCCCAGCTGAATCGCGATGGCTCCACGTCCCTCTGCACTAGCCTGGAATGCTGAACTGCTCCCAGAGGCACATGCTTGTACAGAAATATTCCACTGTGCTACCTTGTCCCATTCTTGTTTTCCCACACCCTCTGTCTTAATCTGAGGGTAAGATCAGTGTCTAATTAGCCACATAAATTGCTGTTTACTGTTCTGGAATTTACTGTAAATGTTTTTGAAAGAAGAGCTAAGCAATTGAAGTGGCCCATGCTGTGGCCATCAAGTCATTAAAAATGAAGTTTCATCACTACAAAAAAACCCCAACCCAAACCCAACAAAACTCCCCAAATCCTATGTGCAACAAAGCAAAAAATCTCCATGTTGGTGCCCAGCTTGGCACTAGAACCCCCTTCCCAGGTTGTACCTGCTTTGGATTTCCGCCTCCGGTGAGGGTAGCCCACTCGCTCCTCCTCCCGCTCAGTCAGATATTCCCCTGTCTGGTATTTCCGACTTTTCTGCCGTCCCTCCTCCTCCACCTTCTCCATCCTCCTCCTCCTCCTCCTCCTCGTTAGGCTCCCACAGCTGCCTGGGTGATTCTGCTCTCCAGGGAACTTCCCGGGTCCTCCTTGTGTAACAGCTGCTCCTCTCGGACACAGACCTGTCCCTGGCCCTGCGGCTGTGGCAGTGAGATGTCCTGTGGGATTTGCGCAGCTTTCGATGTTTCAAGGATGCCTCCTC